ATCATAGCAGCAGCTGTTCTTACCTCACAGTATAAGCGTAAAAACGTTAATAAAGTAACAACAAATATCTATTAAATCTATAAAGTAACAAATACATATTAATTATTACTCAAATTATTATTTCAGTCGTTCTTAATGTATCAAGCGTCTATATGCAAAGAAAAGCCAAAATCTAAGGTTTTTTTCATTAAATGAAGATATAGCCTAAAGATGCTTTGCGGGCTTTACGGCATAACCAGGTTTCATTCTCCCGGGCACCTGGGCAGTTGCCCCCCCCCCCTGTCGGCAGGCCTGAATGGACACTAACCCTCCAAATGTTTAAAACTAAAGGGATCATTTGAAAACATATTCCACAATGCTTCAAGTGAACAATACCTTTCTCAGATTTTTGCCCGTGACTTTAATCTCTCAGTCTTTTTACTTATCACCAGGTGATCAATGTCTGCATCGTTCAGGTCAGTTCCAATATTTCAGTGTCTTACCTAGCCTAGCCCTAAACTGTGTTAACGCATCGCTTGGGCACTGAAGTGTCTCGTGTCAGTTAGCCCCAAATTTTACTGATAAATCGTTAAAGCTTAAAAATATAGTATTTAAATATTTAGGCTCTGTACTGTGTTAGCCTGGCCCTAAGCTTTGTTGATAAGTGGTTACTGTTTATCATGCTGTATAGTTTAACAGTAAAAACATTAGTTAGATTCTTTCTTGTTTTGTTAAAATGGTTCAGAAAATTAATCTGAGAGTAAGCACGTTTCATATTTACCTTTGTACCTACTGTCCTGATCCCTAACTTACCTCTAGTGTAGTATCCAGCAATAAACGAATTCATTCGAAAAAGTTTTATGACATTCCATACACCACTTTTGGAATGTTTTCCCCTCAATGGCATAAGACTTTTTACAGTTATCAAGACACACACGTTTCATCGAGTGTCACCTCGTATTGCAATTATGCTCCGGCTAGATGCCGTTCATGCAGTTTTATTCCTTTTCTGGATATGTCATGGAAGCAACTTAGGTTGCTTTTCCAGATGTAGATCCTTCTTGATTATGTTGTACAATGTTGCCTGGAGCACGTAGGCAACATTTGCATTACCCTTTGTGTTTATGACTTCTCACCTACTGCAAGACACATCACTTTGCTTACCAAGTCTGGGGTATGACTTGTTGCAAGTCCCTTTCTAGAAGGTCCTGCTAATCCAAGTTGATCTGTTCTTTGGCTTTCCAATTCCGTTAAGTACAAGGAATATCCGCATCCTGTTAATTCTAGATCCCTGATCCAAGTGCATATTTATGATGGGAGTGTAGAGATATCGCTGGGAACTGACCTACAGGGCCCGTGTCCCAGATGTATTTTACAGTGCCCCAAATCTATATCTTTTATAAATTATAATATATTAAATTGTAATTATTTTGAATAGTTTGTTTGTTTGTTTGTTTTTAATTATGCACAAAGCTACACAAGGGCTATCTGTGCTCTGCCCACCACGGGTATCGAAACCCGGTTTCTAGCGTTGTAAGTCTGCAGACATACCGCTGTGCCACTGGGGGGGCATTTTGAATAGTAGCTGTTTCTTGAGGCTCTAATGCCAGAAACTGGATTTCGATACCTGTAGTGAGCACAGCACATGACCCATTGTTTAGCTTTGCGCTTAACAACAAACAAACAAAACATACATTTGAGGCCCAAACCCCAATCCTTTTCGATAGTTAGCGACGTTTATGTTTGAATGTATTGATGTAACATGTTCTATTGTTAGGCAGGTATTTTTGGATTATATGGTGAAAGTAATTAAGTACAGTCAACATAACGATAACAAAATGATTTATTTCTTCTATAAGGTTACTACAGGCTACGTTCACTTTGACACAAGGTGTAGATCTAAGTTTAAAAAAAAACAAAATTCCACAGAAATTACTAGTTAATGGTACTACGCCTAACTTACAAATAACCTCACTTGTAGAATTACATATTTCATGGCTAATCGATTGGGTAACTGAAAACACGCAATAACTTTCATTATTAACACTTATCTGAATAGCTCACTGAATACGTAACTAATTGAACTCAATCGTACCCTTGTTTCTACATATTTGACGAAGCTTCTTGATTATTACATCATAATGAATTTTCTAGATATCGTATTGTCACCGTGATTTTTAGCTTTCTCTATCAAACGTCTAGCTTCAAATATAGCTTACAACACTGTGAATATTTAAATTAAAAATGTAGTTCTTATGCATATCATTCCACCACAACTTCATCTCGGTTGTAATGACACTTGCGGTTTTGCAAATTAAAAACCGTTTTAATTTAACCGACTCTACTCTCACTATATGGCAAAACCATGAGGCTTTGTATAACTCTCTATTTTTATTAGCATTATACAAACACTGACTGCAAATAAGGAATATAAATAAGAAACAGAAATATATTTGTACATATAATAACTGAGGTTGTTTTTGTAAAATGTGCTGTTAGTTTTATCAAAAGACGTTCGAAATTAGTAATATTATTCATCTCTTCTTTCGTTTGCAAAAATATGACTGATAACACAAAGGATGCTACTGTAAAGTTACTGTTCTATTGTTATTATAAAAAACAAAATGCTTACGAAAATACGCTTCTTTTCAAATATTGTTCAAGATGCCTTTTTTATAACAATAGCTCTGTGACTGGTAATATTGTTAAGATAAGTAGTTTCCACTAAATGGATACTTATTTTATTGCAAGTAATCGTTAGAGTCTAATATTCTTTGTTATATGAATTAAAGGCTTGATTTTGAAAAACTTATTTAAGAACGCACCGCCATCTGGTAGCTAGCAAAGGAAACATTTTACGAACGCTTTGAAATGTTACATACTAGGCTTCATCTCAAACAAACTAACAGTGAAAAAAGTATAATTGAGTTCCCGAGGGTGTTAAGAACATCTTCAATCCATCGTTTGCGTGGTCGTCCTTTTGGTTTCCATCTGTTTATCTTTGTATTGAATGCTCTTTGTGGCAGAGAACTTGGATTTCTAATTGGGTGAGATCGATACGTATATTCTTCGAAATAACATACATCATTACGGTTGATGGACACGTTCAGATTAAAATTGCTGATTATAAAAACAAAAAGGTTTCTTCAAGATAATACAAGTATATACTATTAATACAAAAATATTGTTACTATGATGTCTGTCGTCTCAGCACCCAGTAACATTAATCTTTCCAGCGAGATCTGTCATCTCAGTGCCTAATAAGGCTTACTAGTTGTGATGTCTGTCGTCTCCGTAAAACAAGTCTGACTAGTTGCTGTATTGTCTCAATAAAATAAGGTAGGCTGCTTGTTGTGACGTCTGTCGTCTCAGTGTTAAATAACGATGACAAGTTGCAGTTTTGGAGTCAAGTTTTACAGGAAGTAATATGATGATATTTTTTTAAACCTAAGAAATCAACTTAGTACTTCCAAGTTCCATACTAATGTTTTTCAAAATGATCAAGAAAAATTAGGCTACAACAGTAATACATTACAACACCATAAATGATCCAACTTAAACTTAATTTAGACAGCTTTGTCTTTCCTTCATTTAGTTTTATTAACAGTATTTTTTTGTTTTCTCTCCACACCATTATTTATAAAAACAACCCTAACATAACAAGTGTACCTAAATCAAAAAGTTCCTTATTAAACTTTATGATCTGATATCTCCACCACAACAATGGCCCAATCACTAATCCTAGGGTAATCTTTACATAAAGTTAATTTATTTTGATATTCATATGATTAATAAGCTAGAATACTGTATTAAGTACAGACATTCTTATGAAACCAATTGCCAAGGTTGCCACAGAGCTAATGTGTTATTATTAATAATAAAAAAAACTATCCTGCAGAAAAAAGTGGTTCAAAAGGCTTTGTTATCCTTACAACAGAATAAAAATTCTTCAAACTCAGATAAAATGTACACATTAAAGTAGACTTAGTTAATTATTTTTCATTTAATAATTATCAGTTGCTCCTGGGGAAAATATTTGTGCAACCAATACACTTTTCTAATATGATTTTGACTCGTATCAGTCATAAACACAAAAAGAAGTTGCTGCAAAACAGTTATTCTTGATTCTTAATTTCCTGTTGATTAAAAAAACTCAAAACTTTTATCTAAATGGTTTCAATAAATTAATCTTCAAAGTATGTATAAAATGTAGTTGATTTATACTGTGTAGGTTCTCTTAGATGTTCGTTTGTATATTTTCTGTAGCAAAGCCACATTGTGTTAGCTGCTGTGTCCACTGTGAGGAATCGAACCCAAGATTTTAGCATTGGAAGTTCATAGACTTACAGCTGTCCCAACAGGGGATATGTATGAATAACAAAAATTATCACTCATGACTTCTAAAATGTACCCTTTTTAACCTTCACTTTGCCACTTCTTGGATGCTAAAAATTTTAAATGAGAAAACCTCAAATCTTTGACCTAAAGAATTCTATTTCAATATGGAATGTAGCACATGATGCCCTTGTTACATAATAAGGTATTTGGCATTCAAGACCTAAAGGTACTTGGTGAGCACCTCCTTAGTGAGAGTTGGCTTGATGTGTTTTTTTTAAATTTTATATTGAACTTCCATTACTTGTGGTCATCGTTGTTTCTGTGGGTTTAATGCCTGCTTTACATTTTTGGAAATGTCTGATTTCAACAAACTTGGTGTATTATTGATATAAGAGTATTACAGACACTCTTTACAATGACAGAAACTGATTTCCCTTTATTGTTTTGGCATTTATTTACATTTTAAATTATAAAACTTTATAGTTAGTACATATTTGTCAACTGAACATGCATTTATCACAAACAATAAAAGTATTATGACACCAGCATGGCTGGAAACAACTGAGCTAAAACAGAAATGAGAGATTTAAAAGAAAATTTACTAATTAATAGTATCTCATAACTGTTTTGTCTAGAAAATAACAAAAGGTACAAACATGTTTACCACATATAAATTTTTCATCTTTTTTTTTCTATTTTAGATTAGGAGAGCAGAATATAAATTTCCATGATAATAGAAAACTATAGTACTACAACTAGCGAAATATATGAACAGTTTAATTATCTGGTGAATACAACTTCCTGGTGGGGCCCACTATTTTCCAGGGATTCTTTAACTTCTCTCATTAGGTACGGGATTTTCTCATGATCAAGCAGTTCAGACCATCGCTCCAGATTGATCTACAAGAAGGATATTGTAATTGAATAGGAGATTTCTGTGCAACAGTAAGGTGTTTATGTAAATTTTTTATCAATAATATTTTCATTAATTATACCTCTTAAAAAATATAAAACTTTAAATATCACAAAACTTTGAACAATTACAACTGTTACTATTACACATGTACATTATATATATTAAATTATGTGTTACTCATAGCTTAAAAAAAAATTCAGAAAACTTACCAGCACTGGAGAAAATCCTGTTTGGGACAAACTTTTAATTTTTGACTTTACGTATCCTTTAAGGAAAGGTGGTTCCCGACAATAAAAGGTTTTGTCAGCAACTACTATAGCCACTCTGGAAGTGTGAATAACAATTAATGAACGTCTATAAGTAAAACTTATTTTATATTATATATATATATATTTATTCTAAACTCTATTTTTTGTGTGCGTATAATCTCACAATTTGTAAGTGTGTGTAATAAAATAAGATGCGTGATATTATGAAAATTTTTCTAATTTTTCATACTTATACTCGAGTTTCTTGACTTACACACAAACTAAATGAACCTTATAGAAGATGCATACTTTCACATATTATTTGAAAAATTTATAATTTCCCTCATCCACGTCAATCTCATTACACCCACGTGTCTCACTCAAAAATCCAATAAAACATCAGAACTATGTAATATTTCACTTATATTTTAATAATGTAGAAAAACTGTTGAACATAAGTAACTTTTCTCTACAGATTTAAACACAAAAAATTAAAATTAATTTATTTTTCTCAGTTTTCCAAGTTATAATTCAGCTGTTCCTCCTATTTTTGAAATAAAATTAAAGCCTTCTCAAAAAATCTACATCGATAAAAATATTAAGTTAAATACCTTCTTCCATCAAATGGCAATGGGACATCTTCACACAGGTCAAAACGATGACAAAAATATGCTGAACTCTCTTTAGTGCTATCATTAATAGCCACAGGATAATCACCCTTTCTCATCACAATCATATGATCTAACAAGAAAATAAAAATAAAGGTTATTGCATACAGATCTCAACTTTTAATGAAAAGTGATATTTATAAGTAACTAGCAGAAATGCTGCCCTATGGGCAGCTGTTTGTACTGGTAATTACTAATCATAGTATTCATACCTCATTGATATACATTTAGAAAAAAAGGAATATTTTCTAAAGAAAAAGGATTTTTTTTCTGGGAAGTGTTCAGATTGTGTTCTTTGGTCATAAGCAACTCATTGCATCAAAATGAGTCAATGAACAGAGCTCAAAATTCTCATAGATTTTATTGATATAAACTGTAATGTTTTTATATATTAAAAGTGCTACCTTTTATTGACAAAATAAGATTTTTCAAGAACTCCAATTTCTCAGTACTGCATTTAAAATTTACATCAATAAGGATATAATCAAACCCTCACGTACAGTCCTAGTGAAAGTCATGCTCTTGTTGTGAGGAGAGTTCTTTTATTTAAAATTGTGTTCTCTTATAAAGAAATGGTTGTTGCACATACCACAGTTATTTTTCCAATTGTCTGAATCTTGAATACCCAAAGTGTGAAATTTTTTATGGATTTTTCTTTGTGGTGTCATTAAATAGGTGGCTCAAGTGTTTTGGTTAGATATATAGATGCTGACATACACGCTACATAAATTATATTAAGATTTTCAGCATTTATATACATCTATTTTTCTTTCTTCAAAGCTAAATTTAAGGTTTAGCTTTCAAGTTTCTTTATGAACATCACACTAGGCTTTTAATATATATTCGACATTAATTATTTGTGTATTATAAACCTGAGGCACAATTTGTACACAAGCATGAAGTTATATTTTACATTTTAGTCATGTCAAGACTACTTTTGAACATATTCAACAGAAAAAACTTATAGTCAGCTGAAGATAATCCTTTTTAAGTGTACTTTTTGATCTAATTTTTCATCCTTCTCTGCATGTAAAAAAAAATAGCAAGCCATGCTACTGTATAGAAAACATTACCTCATTGAAAATCCATTCTTTGCTTCTGCAAAACGTTTTATAACATCTAAGCGTGTAGATTATGACAATTGCCATTACCATTTTTGAGTTAATTTGAAAGAGAATTGTTTTGAAAATAGATAAATTTTATTCTGAAACATAGAAAAAGGATTGTGAACAAATATGATCAAAGAGATAACAAATAACATGTAATAAGAAAACACTGCACAGTAACCAGCACCTCAGTTACTTTATTACACAAGCTGTTAACTTGATGAACATGACCTCAGTAATGTTGTTTTGTGAGTGAGAATTTAAACTTTAAACCTAATATGTCACTACTTAAAATAAACATTATTATTTTGAAACTTAAGTGCTGGCTTTTAAGCTAACATGAGTGATGCATAACAAGCATACCTATAAAATGCCCTGATCTTGTTTGAAGTCCAGTCTTAAGGAATTGGGGACCACCTACAGCTATCTCCAAATATTTCTGTAATGGAAATTCCCTACTTATTCTGGAATTAAACTCCAGACGGATGGCTTCGCTGATTTTTTCAGAAGGCAGAAATGGTCCAAGAGGAGAAGTACGATGGAGAATACAAGCATCAATCAGTACTTCTTCATAGTGTTCTGAAGTTTATGAATATTTTTTAACCATTAAGAAAGAACCATATTATAAGAACATGAGAAGTACAATATAATTCATTGTGTTAAAGCTAAAGTACATATGAATGCTAAAATCACAATGAGCAAACACATTTATAAGAGTTGTTCCAGTTATTATTTGGAACATATTACAATATATTAAAATGATGGTGACGTCAGAATTCACACTTAACACACAATAAAATTATACATTAATGTTAAACAAAGTGCTTTAGTGTTAGAATTGGTCACACTTTTAAAAAACAAGTCACCAAGAACCACACCATTTACATAAAAAACTCCTAATAAACAGTTAATCAAATTATTTCGACAAATGTTGCAATTTGGTGTCATGTCAGTAGGCTATAATAAAATACTGTTGCTTCCATTTTAACTTCAACTAAATGCCACTTCAAAACAGCACTTAAATACAATGCTATTTAGATATCTGTTACAATAGTTTTGTTTTATAGTCTAAGAAAAATTCGTCCTATAATGGGGTGCTTTGCTTGTTTTAGCTATACAATGGGGAATATGCAACCTGTTCACTGCTAGGAATTCAACCCCAGATACTAGCACTATAAATCCGTAAACTTACTGCTGACCCACCAGGGGGTAGTGGGTGACACATGCTAATCCAGATTAGCATCCCAGTTTGATTTATGTCCTCTTAACAGCTGTATTTCTGGAACTAAACACAAAGTAGCATTTTTTTCAATGTCTTTAATCCAATAACTAAACGGACTTGTCCATTATCTAAGTGTAGCAAGCAGTATGTAACACAATTATTGTAACTGCTTTAAACAACTACCATTTATCATGGTATGACCTAGTCAATTTGCTGGTGTTATATTTCTTACACAGAAGTTTAAAACTTTGAGAGAGGGTTTACATAACAACAGATTAGTGTTAACTTTCTTAATATCAAATAATATGACTAAAAATATCAAAATATTAATGCTAGATCCATCAACAAAATATGCATAAGCCTTACTATTTTGAAGTTTTGCTTTTCTAGACAGCTCAGTTATTATTTATCAGTTATAAAAGTTGTGTGCAGTCTGTGGAAGCATACAGCAGAAAAATTAATTAATCTGAACTTAAAATACCATTACAATATGGAATGGTATATTTCAAGTCAACATATTTAACCAGTGTTCCGTTTTGAGCGATTTTGCTGCATGCATAATCACTGTCACTAATCTGTTACTTCAAATGTTTTTGAAATGATACCGAGTTTATTACACAATCTCACAATTTAGATGATAAAAAAAAAACTAGTACGGAAAGATAGAAAAACTAAAACAATTCTTTTTAAGAAAATAAAACCTCATAATTCAATTTCCTGCAACACCTCATATTTAATGCAGGATTCTAGTTAGAAGTATATAGAACAGTATTGTAAGTATTCTGCATGCTGTATTATAAATAAAGCATTTGAGCTCAATACCACAACCCCATCAAGCCAGTGGTAATGGAAAATTAAATCTTGTGCTTCAAAAACTACCAAAAAAAGGTATTCTAATTCTATATTCATAACCTCTTTGGTTTGCTAATGTGTTTCTTTAATCTACCAGGAACCTTATTATGGACTATAATACTGAACTGTTACTAATTCACAGCTTACTTAGGCCTACATGTGTTACTGATCCGGAATAAAAAAAAAACATCTCTCAAAAAAAGAATTCCCAGTTGATGCCCATGGTTTTAACTCTTCTTTGTTTTTTTTTAGAGCAAAGCTACATTGGACTATCTGCTGTGTCCACTGAGGGGAATCAAACCCCTGATTTTAGCATTGTAAGTCCACAGACTTACTGTTGTCCCACCAGAGGACTGCCAACGACTTGTAAAAACTTTTATCACCTCACTGTTTACTAGTCTAACATAGGCTTTAAGTTAGAAGTATATATATAAATATATAACAGCAATTCAACTGCACTTTCCTTATAGTAAGCCAATCCTGAGAAGGTTTTTATCAGAGCTCACAGTTTTACTTGAAATATTTATACTCATTATACCAATTATAATAATTATACTAACTATTAAAATTTTAAGCTGAAAGAAAGATATAAAGCTCAAAATAATAATTACAATTATCTGGGATTATGTTAAATAAACCAGCGGTATAATCTATTTGTTAATTGTGAACTTAGATTTACCTGTTATCTTGGCTTAGGCATTATGAGCACAATAAAACTGAAATCAAAGTTGTTCTGTCCAGATCAGTGCAAAAGTATGATTCAAGTAAGTAGTTACCTGTCTAACAAATGAAAAAATAATTTCTGCCTTTTTTATTTTTACATAATATAATAGTTACAAAATAAAAGCATAAACTGAATATTTGCAATACCACGTCAGGGTTCTAGTTAACCCGAACTCCCGGGTCTCATAAGCATCAGAAATTGTCAGGACACATGAGATTTGATTCTTTGGGTACCGAATACACAGCACAAAATACCCACATGCAAGGAAACACAAGTAC